CGGCTCCCCGCCCCGGTGCCGCCGGCAGCTCCCTCGGCGGGCGGTCCCTCTGCCTGCCAGCGGCGTCGAGGCGCCCTCGGGGAGGACTCCCTCCTCTTTCTGCCCCTTGCTTGCTGCCGCCGCTCCTCACGCCTCGGTGAAGATGCACCCCGCCTTCGGCCTCCCTCCTCGGGCTCCCGGCACCCCAGCGACCCGGAGACAGGCTCCATCCGCCCCCGCCGGGCGCTCCGTCTCGTCCCAGCTTTTCCTGTGTGTGGTCAAGCACCGGTTGCCGATGCCCTCTCAAATGACTCTTAAAGGTCTGAAAAACTTCTGCTCCTCTCCTCCTTGCAGGCCTAGAATCTGCATAACTACTCCTACATCCTAAAAATGCTGGCTGAAGCAGAAAGGCAGAAGCAAGTAAAGTAGAATAAACGCGCTTCCACAGAACTACTTAAGCCGTGGATGCTTGAGGCGGGATTTAAAAGCCTGAATTTCTCCTCAAGTTTGTAATTCTTGAGACCCACGTCCAGTGGCAGCCATAGGCACCCAAGCATCAGAGACGCCTCGGCTCTGACACGTGTGTCCTGCAGACGTGGAGCTCCGTGCCTGTGTGTTGCCCCAGCAGCCCCCAGCAGGCTCTTGGTGACAAGGGCAGCGTTCTTGGGATTCACCAAGCAGAACCATGCGCCCTGTGAAAGTAAACTTTGCTTTGGGTTTTTTTTCCCTGCACAATAGGACAAGAAGTGGCTGCTGTCCCCTTTTATAAACAGTCATGCTGTGGAAAGCCAGAAAAGTTCATCTCTCTAAAAATACAATGAAGCTCTTGTCTGTAGATCCTTTTGCTTGAGGGTTATCCTTCCTATCCCTTGAGTACTGCTAGTATATAGAGAAAAACCCTCAAAACTCAATCTAGAAGGAGAGCGCCTGAAGACAGGCATCCACAGCTTAGTGTACAAAGGTGAACAATTCACCTGTGCTGACAGAGACTCCAGTCACCTTCTCAAGGAGGACTTGGGTGTTTTATGCTGAGCTGGATCTAGAAAGAGGCTGTGGAGTGCTGGAATAGTGAGCAACCTGCAAAGTTGTCTATACTTGGACTTTCTTTTTGGTCCAGTCTTAAATGTTTTAGACAGTGGTACCGCTTCAACAGTAGACACGTAACTACCGTCCAGGCTGTTTACTAGGATGCAGTCTGCAGAAGTGGAGGCTGCCAATCTGAAATTCCTGAAGAACAAAACCTCAATCTGTTTCTCCCTCAAAGTCTTAACTGCTATTCTGTTACAGACAAGCTGTGCAGGGGTAATCAAAACTTGCATTTAAAGAGAGCACCAGCTTGGTCTTGTTGGTGACGTGGACAACACATGTCTGCAAATACCCATCACATCAGGTGAACTTATTCGTGGACTGCAAGTAGTCTTCTAGACAAGGGAATTGTTTTCAGTGACTGGAGAGCTGTAGTCATGTGCAAGAGCACTACCAGGACTTTCAGGGTAATAAGGAAGGTGCCTGCTGAGTCAGGCAGTGACTGACCTGGTGACTGACGGACTTAGCTTGTAAACTAATATAATTTATTTTATACCCTACTTTGATGCCCAATATTGAATCCAGTCTTGGATCCACCAAGATGGATCCAAAATTTTGGAAGCAGCAAAATGTCAGATACGTTTTTCTCAGAGTTTTTACCAGGGAATTTTGAGAGATGTCCCCCAATAGCAGGCTGATTTGTCAGTCTAGCTGGAAAACTCCTGACTCTCCACATGCTTCAGTTTCACATTTAACTGGACCATCACTTATTGTGGCACCACATCTAACTCTTCCCTAAGCAAAGGCAGGCATTATGATGGCCACCTTTAGGTTTTTTTTGTAAGAAGAACCTCATTTTTGCAACTGTCTGAAGCACGTAACCTCTGACTACAGCTGCTAAATGCGAGCGCTCAAGAGACCAGAAAACAAATAGTTCAAACCAGTTTTTCTGACCTCACCTGCTTCTTCATCAGGGCTACTAAATGTGAAAGACAATACTTTCTGTGCTTTCCGTTGTGCTTGTTGGTGGGTGATAGAGCACAAGTTGTCAGAGGCCTTGAAGGAAATGTCTTCAAGACATTCATAATTCCTCAGGGGAGCCCACACTGCAGCCCTCTTCATCACTCTTCTTGTTGAAAAGCATTGGCTACGAACGTTCTCTTGCTAGGATTAAAGACTGCAACAACAGGCAGCGACTTAATGAGTTTTATTAAGGATCGTATCTGAATGAGCTGGCAGTAGTCTGACATTGCTTAATGTTACTATGCTTAATGCAGTTTCACTAGTAGGTTGTATTGCTCCATATTTTTCCTCCAGCCGTATTTTAGTAACATTGCCTTTGCATCTAGGGCTTTCAACTATACTGTGATTTGAGTAGCAGGTTGTAAAGAAACTTACTATGTTAGTCATATAACTTTAAACCATACAGGATTTTATACAGAAAAGCCTAACTGGCAATCTCTCAGTAATTTGCCATCAGTTTAAATCAAGTCAGAGGCTAGGTTTGTTTATCTGTTCATCGTAGCTAGAACAACTACTTCTATTCAAAACAATACATGCAGAAGAAAATAAATAATTTAAATACAACAATTCTGAAGTAACTATCCACCTTCTTACTGTTTGTATTACAAAGAACAGACAACAGCAGAGCAAAGAAATTAAATTCCATTTGTGATCTGTAGGATCAAGATAGGTACACGCAGCATACTGTCTCAATGCAACTATTTTGTATTTTTTAGTCTCCTAAAATAAGGTAAAGATGATTGTACCACTTCTCTCCCTTGCACTAAATTTTGAATCTGTTGGCCAACAGCAATCAAAGTGTATAGAAGGTAGAGGATGTTTCATGAAAACAGGTGGCTAAATAAAGAAGATGCCTTTTAACAATACCTTGATAACCTTGAATACCTTGAATGAAAGGCTTATTCACATGTTAAATGTCAGACAATCTACACAGAAGTTCAGAGGTAGGAAAGAAATGCAGACTTCCTTAGTCTTTTTCAGAGACTTCACTTCAAATTCATGCAATTCACTGCTGCAAGAACTACTTAGTTTTTGAAAGCTGCCCAAACATGAATTTAAAATATTTCTTAAGTTTGCTCAGTACCAGACAGGATTGTGCAGGAAATGTGAAATACCACTGCATGCATGTGATTGGTGACTAAGTATCAGTGTTATCCAGCTATCTTCATCGGATGATTGTGGGTTTTAGAATGCAGTTCACCTTTAAGAAAGCTAATAGTTAAAAAAATGAATTCCAAGCATTTTTATATAATGAATTCCAAGACCGATTAACCAATTAAATAATAATGCAGAAATGATCTCATTTGCATATGTCCACATAAGTGCTTTCTCCTTCTACTTTTAAAAGCAGTGATATGCAGTCATAGTCATAAAATAACTTCAAAACATTTAGGAAGGGGGCTGCAAGAGTCAACTTTCCCTATCGTAAGGAAGGGTTCAGGAAAGTTAAATCATTCATCCAAGGAATGAAGGAAGGGGCCCAAACTGGACTACCCATAAGTGAGTTTGCTTGTTTCTCAACAATACTCATGTATCCTATCAAAACCAGATTAATAAGGTAAGCGTCAGGCAGGCAGTTGTGGCTCAGAAGTAGCGTGCACTTTGTTGGATTCTAAATGAGACATATCCATAATGAGAACATAGAGAGTTTAATTTTGACATCCTAATCATGACTGACTTCTCACTTTCCTGGAAGAATCCTGCTCCAAGTGACACTGATTCAGGAGACATGGCTGTCAGACATTATGACCAGAAAAACCAACAGGATTAAGGTAGTAAGAGTAGTGCCCTCAGGTCAGAACAAGCTCCCCCTGCAGTTATTCTCCTTCTCCTCCCCAGTGATTCATGAAAACGAAGACAGTTTCTGTGACATATTAAAGTAAGTTTTACAGCTGAAGCCAGTTGAGCACCAATGACAGAAGGGAGCAGGATGTTTTAGGTGTTTTATTTATTTATTTCTATGAGTACAACTGGTATGATGATTACGGGCAACTTGTGCTGTAAACACCTATTGCCTGAAGTAGAACCCGTCAAAGGTAAGTTTTCCTGCTTTCTTTCATTGTTCTCTAAAGGAAATCACACAGTTCAACCACTCTGTAGCTCGATATCTCTGTGACAGATATGACTGGGCTTGACACATGCAAGTATTTTGATTAATACTCTGTAACAAAGAATGAGCATCTTCAAAACAAAAGCCTTTATTTATCAAGAAAAAAGCAAAGCTAATAGTAAAAAATAAAGGCAGTAAAGGTTACTAACCCTTAAGTTCTTCAAATCATTGGCACATTCTATGCAGCCTGTTTAAATCAGTTTCTGGGTTTGGCATTAGACTGTCCTACTTACAGCCTGTTGCTTTTCCCTTATAGATTTGATAACTTTCACTGATTGATACTCACTGTGTAACACTGAATTAAACTTGCTCCATTTCCATCACTTTTTCGTGTGGAGTCTTGCAATGGATTAACACTATTGATCTAAGTTTAACTTTTGCAAGAAAAAAAATTCAAATTTAGCTAGGATGGAGTAATAAATAGCTATCCTGTTATCTCCTAAAACTGCTATCATCTGGGTTGTTATTTTGCTTAGCCTGCTTGCTTCGTTTAACACCACCTTTTAAGCCAACACTACAGCCAGCAATCTATTCCAAACACACAGATATTAATTCCTAATTCACAGTGGAAAGGATTAGGGTATTTCCTAATTTTCTAGGATTTG